CGTCAGATACAAGCGCTAGTAAGAAGATTTACTCATATAAGAATTATTTTTTTGAAGATTGGTAACTTGCATGTCCGCATAATTAACTTGCATGTTGACACAAATATGTTGCATGTCTACATAAATATGTTCCATGTTAACATAATTATCTTGCATGTCGTGGGCAGAAATATGCCTCCATTAGATTTGGAAAAAGAAAAAAATTTTCTTAATTAAATGTATTTAATTTTAGATACAGAATAGAAATATCTGATTTATTTTTCATATTAGAAAAAATGGAGTTCTACAAATTGTAAAAGTTGATTGATCAATTTTGTGTCTAAGTGTAATTGATGTACGATATTAATACTTTTTTTATGGAAAACCAGGTGCCTTATACTTGTAAATGCATTTGAATTCTTTGATTTTAATTTTTGTTTATTTACATTGTATTTCAATCAACATGCATGATGTGTAGGCATGCTATAAATAATTCACAAGGGAAGGTTGTTTAAAAGTATTAAAAATGTTGTGGAAAGACCAGAATTACGTTTTTTTTAGTTTGTCTTTCGGACAGCATGTTTACTGTGTATAACTAGCAATACTGGGATTAATTATTGATCTAGTGACAGGTGTGTAATATTATGTGGTATGACATAATCAGTTACACGGATTCAATGAAAAACAGAAGGGATTACTGCACGTAAGGACAGATGATACAAACAAAAACAACATAGATTCCTGGATTGGTATATATCTTTTGACTTAATTTTATTGAAAATGATGTTATATTAATGAATTTTTAGAATATACGGAAATTGTAATTCTTCTGTGACCTTCAAATTATACCCTTCTGTAACAATCCTTATTATTCTATACACATATTTTTAGCTTCAAATTCCATTTTTGTGCAAATTTGAACTAAAAAATTAAAAACCACGCGGTGAAACCTATTCATTTTATTTATTAAAACGAGACCCAAGTTGTTATTTTCAAACTTTTTGACAAAAAGTTGCTTATATCATCTGTCCTTAAGGATCTGCAAATTTTGTGTGAAAATAAATTTTCAAAACAGACATTTTTCTTTTAATTGCAGAAAAGATTAACATGTTATCTATAACTTTACTTAATTATGATTAATAAAAATGTGTTTTACTATATATGGATCTGTTTTTGAATTGTGGGTCATCACAAGTTCTGCAATCTCTGTACTAGAATGAGGAAGCCCGGTTTATTACTGACTTTCTATATACAGTCAGCGCATGCTTGTTTATTGTTCTCCTTTTAACAGTAGTTGTATATTGGCATAAGTAATGTTGTGTTAAAAGGAAGTTAATAGACAAATTTAACATGCATTCATGTTTAAAAAGGAAACAAAAACTGCTTCTCCTCACACTCGTTCTCTCTGTTGTAAACACGGGCCATGACACGTTGAATATTATAATTCATCACGTGATATCTTTCCTCAGCTAATTTTATGAATACAAAATTCCATCACGTGACTTTCATATAAGTTTAATTGTTGGTGCATGGGGATTGGGGTGGGAGTAGTTATTTAGAATTAAAGGTTTTCTAAACATTGAAAAGATTGTTAATCAGAAGTTTTTTCCTTTTATAAATTACGAGATACATGATATATTTACTTCAATGAATCTGTAAAAATATATATGTTTTTCATTTAATATATAAAGTTGCTTATCATTTACTTTAGAAAAAACGACAGGTCCCCTTTTTAAGAACATCGAATTTTACTTTTCGCATAAAAACGTACTCTGCACAGTTCGTGTTTTATGTTATAAAATTGAAATTTAATACATTTTTGAATATACGTAATGCATGTGTCTAACTTCAATTCATATTTTATGCAGCCAACATTTACTTGAGGAATTGATTAAGTTTAAAATGGTATCGTTTTTGTTTGATGTTCATCCGACTACGCAGCATTGTTAAGGCTTGAATAAGGGGGCGTGGCCTAATTTATACGGGAAAGTATACTATGACGTCACACAAAAATATGACATTAATGTAGTTCTCATAATACGTGTAAATGAAATAATTTGCAACACTGAAGAGTATTAGCAAAATAAACAACATTATAACTTATCAATGCATTAAAAAAAGTGGCTAGTTAAATCCCTTGAAGCTATTTAAAAACTAAGCACTCATCGCGATGAACTTGTAAACATGACGTCATACTGGTAAGAATGACGTACTTCGTGTGCTGTGAGAGGCAAATTCAGAAATTGCTTATCAATGAAAAAAGTGTTTTATTATTAAAGAAAATATAATTTACAAATTTTAAATAGTTGATTAATACCAAGGTGTAGCCTTTGTTTAGTGCGATTGTTAATTAACTGCAAAAAGAATGTATTTTATTAATTATGTCGTCTTTTATGTACAGGTTACCTATATTTTATATCGATGTGCCTCATAATCGTATTTTCGCAAGGGCATACATTGCATAGATCTGAACCATTTATTTAAATATGGATAAGGGATATATTCCTTAACTTGAAAAGTGCTGCTGCTTTCTTTAAATCGAAGCCATGATTTTATAAGTACACAAAATATTTGGTAAAGTTCTAACATATTTCGACATTGGCCTATTAACTTAAGCTTCTAAGTATGAAAACGCGAATTCTATTCAAAGCAGCAGCACTTTTCAGAAACTACAAAGTACACAGAAAGAATTAATAGCTTGAATTTTTAATTTCAATTAGGGTATGCCCTTGCGATATTGAAATTTGTTATTGACCTACATTCCGTGTACCTGCTATGCGTTTATCACGTGACTGTCAATCGATGGGACCAAACACTACACAGTACAGAGTATGTTATATTATGCTATTTCCATAAGTATTTAAGTTTTGTGATAATAGAATAGCTGAATAAAAATAAATTTAATTTTAAAAATTCCCCTTTTTTGCACTTTCATTTTCCGTTGATTTCTCATAGTAAGCCTTAACAGTGCTGCGTATAAGTTTTCAAAATATTCGCGACTATCGTCTCCATCAATTAGACGCATGCCTTTTCACACATATCGAAGCTGTTTGATGATCAAGTCTCAATTTCATTGTTTACTTTATATATTTCCCGGGCGACAATTGGTGGTTACATCGATGTTTTCTTGTGGGTAGCATGTTTAAGGTAAGTATGTCACTGTGTACAATCACATTAAATAATCAGCCGTCGATTTGAGATATTTTTACGTATATGGATGATCCTGTACGTTTGGATTCTTTATAAATAATGTACTTGTGCCATACAGAATATATAGGAAGATAGAAAATAATGATCTCGTATTTCTATATAAATTTCATTTTTATCATCCAGTCTAATTCTAGTTTCACTCTAACGATATGTTAGCCCTGCCTCTCATACATACACTAAATGTTAAATGTTAAATCAAGAGCACGTAAGTCTAAGTGGTCTGTATTGGAAAACTGTAAGGAAGAAAAGCATAAAATTAGTTATAGCATTACATTCTAAAATCATTTTTAACATTTAAATTGGATCTCTATTTGACTAATTTTGGTCAATATTTAAAAGCAACAAAAGCTACCAAAAAAGACCAAAATCACATAAGTGCAGCCATCCTTTTGAACCTTTTCAGTTCAAAGTTTAACAATTATATGGCTAACGACCGAAAATTTAAGCAGCAATTTAAATCGGATATCTAGTGAGTATTCATACAATGATGGCGGACAGAGTAGAGTGGTGAGATACACAGGGACAACAAAAATTTGGAAGATTCAATATGACATCAATAATCCAGGGACTACCTCTGTTTGGTACTAAAATGGGGGGGGGGGGCATGTTAAATATCACTGAAAATGGCAACAGCAATATTTGTGTGGCTGCTTTTGGTTGCAATGAGGTCATTGTGGTCTATTCATCCGGGTGTTTAAGGTTCAAATATCAGGGTGACACCTCCAATTAGATGGAAAAAGTTCCAATTGTACCCTCTTATATTCCTACTGATACCAGACGTCAAATCCTGGCAACGGAGAGTTCGAGTAAAGTGATCCACATAATAGACTTTGATGGTAACTTAGTTCTATATCTAGATTATATAAATTCATGTGAAATTTGAAATACTGCAGACACATTTTTAGCAAAATGAAGGTTATAAATGATTTTTTGAAACCAAGAATCCATTGCAGAAAAGCTGAATTCTCACAGTTGCATCTCAGTTCCTTGAACTTTAAGTTCAATGAGAGAATGTTCGTTTTCGGAGACTGCATCTAACATTTCCTCAGTTTCTCAAGGACGATATATATCTATGTACTAGAGAGGTTCAGTTAAGTTAAACGAGCCATGTGATTGATATGAACTGTATCCTTACTCAAAAAATTGAAAGTGAGCTTAAGATCTTCCAGTCGTTCGAGGTTTCGAAATTCTATATAAGCTTTATTTCCTTCAGTGTGACAGAGGGATAGACGCCTGGTAAAATGATCCTCAGTGTCAATCTGATGGTGACACAAATAGAAAATAAACAAAGATATTTGAAGGTAACAGGAAACAGGATATTTTTAAAGGTCTCATTTGTGCGTGACTACATGTAACTTATGTTTTTTTTCTAAACAGCTGTTCGCAATAAAATGATGACTCAGTTTTTAGCTTTGAAAATATAAATCACCTGACTTCCTGACAATCCAAGGATAATGAGCTTTGTATTGAGCCAGAACACTACACCGGCGTAAAAAGTAAGTTTAAAGATTGTAGATTTTTATAGAGAACTGACTGAAAATAGTGAATATGTCATTAAGTCATTGAACCATTGATCTAAAACATAAATACTATTTAAAAGAAAACATTGTAGATGTATGTTTCAACTTACTTTTTAATATAAACTTGAGAGTTTGTATCAATAACTTGCTTAGAATAAAACGTAATGAAGTATCTAAAAATGGATGTATGAACAGATATTAATATAACAAATAAATTTACGAAATGCAATGAATTTCATGAATTTAACCCACGTAAATATGGTTTTATTTTATTGCCAGTTCTTAATACAGATGGCTACCGCCCAGGAACAGGACATTATTTGCTGTCACTTGTGTCCCAAGCGTGTAGAACATCACTGCAATCTTTGTCATGTGGACCTCTGCCTCACATGTGTACCAAATCATATGGCTGACACATCTAGGGATCATGAAATTGTTGGATTCACTTTTTCTGGAAAACTGAAAATGATGGATGACCCTGTGGTTCTTAAAACTGTTCAAAGTCCTTATGGGGGTAATCACTGGCTTTGGAGAATACAGTGTGTGGGAAGAGATAAGATCTTGGTTTGTGGAAGTGACAGTACAATCAAAGAAATAGACAAGGATGGATCCATTCTAAACACAATACATACAAATGGTAATGTTTGGGCATTATCAATTAATTTTCTTCAGGAGCCGGTGTTTTTTACGGTAGGCATACATAAAAAAGATGTATGTATTTATACTAAAAATGAAGTCAAAGTTTTGTTAAGCATACATGACTGGTATTGTTATGGACTGAACTGTACAGTAAATGGGGATCTGCTGGTAAGCATGCGATCAACAGATTGTACACAAAGTAGAGTAGTGAGATACTCTGGGACAACAGAGATTCTGAAGATCCAGTATGATAGTCAGGGTCAACCTCTGTTTTCTAGTTTTGAACATGTGCTTCTTCTGACTGAGAATGGTAATGGTGATATTTGTGTTGCTGACCGTGCTGGGCATGCTGTTGTGGTAGTGGATTCTACTGGGGGATTACGATTCAAGTATAAAGGAAACCAGTCCAAACATTCAATGTTCGCACAATTTCATCCAATGAACATTGCCACTGATGTCAACACTCAAATACTGATTTCTGAAGAGTCACAGAACATTATCCACATTATAGACTGTGATGGTAACTTTGTGCGTTATATTAAACATCCGTGTAATGGAGGATTGAGTGTTGATGCTGATCACAATCTTGTTTCTGGGGACATTTATACAGGCGAGATGAAAATTATCCGATATTTAGAGTAATGAAAAAAAATATATTGAATGATCAGAAAAAACAATTAAATTGAACTCTTCATCTCTCTCCATGTTACCCCTTGATTGCGCTATTTTACCGTGTGAAAGACAGAAAAAAGTCAAATATGGAGAACGATGTTACAAATTCATAAATCAGCTATTCTTTATACATTGAGTTTAACCTGCATGTGTATATTTAAGGGCCTTTTGCCTTACTTCCTTATCAATCATAAGATTTATTTTACAAGCATATATTTGAATGCTGCATTATCATTAAAAAACGTTCTCAAATGCTCTGAAATCAAAAAAAAAATAGGAAACAAAAACACAAAGGAGAAACTGGGAGACTTAATTGAATTGTACCGCAAACCAGGAAGAAAAGCCACCCAATGTCTACCACTCCTTCTACAATTTACTCTTTATTTCCTCTTCCATTATTGTAAGACCTCCACCTGATTCGCTATAGTCTGCATTCTCAACAGAACCAATAACTAAAACTTTTTACTACAATGCAGCTTGACTTTTTGAACATTTATATGCAAACGATTTTTTAGAAGAATGTTTGGTAGTGGTGATGTTTGCTAGAATTTCTTTTAAATATATATCTACTTCTATCATATGAGACAGTAAACTTTTTATTCACTGTTTTCAATTAGATAAAGTGAATGTACTTTATTGAAAGCAAGTTTACATTATGTAAATATCAATTTGCTTTAGTGTTATTGTCTGTGTACAATAAAATGCTACCATCATATTATAAAGGATTTGCTGGGACCAATGATGCACTAACTTATGAAAACAATAAACCACACATCAGTGAGTATAGTGCCTAATTATGAATAGCCTTATCATTAATTCTAAATACTCAATTACTGCACTTAATTGTGAGTAAGCAAACCACGTACTCGTACAGTATGATGAATTGCAAACAATATATTCTTTTGTTTTCATCTTCATAAACACCGGTGAAATCTTTGGTTTAATGATTAATTTTCAATTATATCAAAATAGTTGTTTCAAACTCTGAGAATTAAAGTTGAGTGAAGGAAGCAAAATTTTGAGAAACTATTGAAAAAAAATCTTCTTTATTGGTAAAATATTTGAAACTAAGTTTAAATATATTATATTACAATTATATAGATAAAGGCGTTTTCTGAGGGGTATTTGATAAATCGTCGGACTGAAAATCAGCGACAGTGTGGGTGCAGTCGGGTTTTTCTTCGGAAACTGCAGCCATTCACTATTTCGGCATAGCATGCTTACGCTATATAAATCATTAGAACACTATTTGACAATAGTTGGGTATGGGTTATATAGTGACAAACTGACAGGAGGCATAATAATAGTTGTTTATGTATACCTTGTAGTGACTGAAAAGTGCTGCTGCTTTGAACAGAATTCGCGTATTAATAGTTAAAATTTCAGGCAAACCAGAACTAGGCTCTTCCAAAATAAGGAGTAAGTCTTCAGTCCTAATTAATCGGCAGTAACTTTTATTTAAAAAGAAAGAGAAATGACGTCTCTAATGATTTCAATCGTCCAAATGTATGTTGAAAATTGCAAAAGTAAGTCATTTTTTTTGCTACTTCCTCATCGACCGGTGTTGTATAGTAGCCTTTCCCCCTAGCCATCTTTCCCCCCGGAAACATGGCTATATAGTAGTTTTCCCCCCGGAAAAATGGCTATATAGTAGATTTCCCCCCAAGGAAAGATGGCTATATAGTGGGATTTCCCCTCTTTTATAGCCAGATTACCCCCAGGGAAAACCTACTATATAGTAGATTTTCCCCCCTTTTTTCATTCCGGTTAAGTTTACGGAGGACCATTCTTTGTAATAATTCGCAATACATGCGTATTTGAAAAGACATTGATTTATTAAAAAGCCGTACATATTTTTGTGTTTTTGGATATATACATGTGTATGTATTTTTTGCATAAATATTTGGTTTACACTTTTTTAAAAACAATTATCCATATACATATGTACTGCAGTCCTAAAAACAGACTATTTCACCTCAAAACTACATCTGAGATGAACTTCTCCATGGTTGATACCTAATACGTAAAAACTTCACTATAAAAAAATCATGAATTACTACAAAAGAAAACAAATGAAGATATGCAAGTTAAAAAGTTATTTTATTAACTATTTCTTTATCTTATCTTTATACTGGCTCAGGTAAATGGTGTGGCATTTAAATAAATACAAATTTCAAAAGTTGCTGATTTATCGAAATAATCATACTTTGAAATAATTATTTGGGAACATTTGCTTTTCCTTAGTCTAGTCCACAAACCTGGGACTTTTTTTTCAAAACAATGAAATGGCGGGGTGGGGGGGACAGTGTGTTTACTGAAGAAATATATTGTAAATACAATAAAAAAGCTAAATCTTTAAAGTTAAATTTAATAAAATTGGCACTAACTATTCCTTTCTATTTTACACGTTTTTTTGTTATTGAATTTAATATGGGGTCTTACAACATAAAAGTTCGGTAAGACACGCTTATAACAAAGTGCCAGGGATGAAGGATTTTGCTTTGTTATAACCGTAATTCGTTATATCTGTTACGATTACAATATATTTTAAAGTCATTGGGAATTAAAATCACTTTGCTGTAAGCGTCAATATTCATTATAAGCGCGTTCGCTATCAGCGTGCACTATGGATCTTTTGGCTGACACATGTTTATAACAAAGACAATGTCAGAAGATTTTGTTTCACATAAAAAATTAAATTTAGTTAAAAAAGGGAAAAAAAGTCCTTAAATTCATAGCACATGTATACATGTATTTGAAATATATAATTCATGTAGGTTGTATAATTTAAGTTTTAAATATAGTATCCTAGTAGTTCGATGAATTGCCTGTATGATAAATTCTTTACGTTTATACAGTTGACAAATAAACACTTTTTCGTTCATCAATGTATGCAAGTACATATATGTAACGTACTTCAGTCACTGTTCAAAACATCGAATTAAAGCCTTATCAGCTTTCCATAAACAATTTTCAAAAATCTAAACCAAAAACGTTAGGGGGAAACCCTACTATGGGGGAAAATCTGCTATGTAGTAGCTTTTCTCCCTAGGGGGAAAAACTACTATATAGCCAGTTTTCCGGGGGGAAAAACTACTATGGGGGAAAAACTACTATACAACACCGGAATTGACGTTGACGGAGGGAAAATAAGTTTTATGCTTCAAGTGACAAATACTTCCCAAACAAATGTGTGAAGAAGGTCAAAAATGCATTTTCAGACTAATTCCGGTTGGGCCGGAAATTACGTCAAAGGGTGTTTTGTGATGATCTTTATAAATGGTACTCGAAAAATAGCAATAAGTAATAAATTTTCAGAAATTTTTCACAATCCCAGTTCTAAAGTATATACAATAAATTATGTTCAAATCAACATAGTAATGTTTCACTATGAAATTGAAATATTAGCCGAAGTTTGTTTTGAATTTTTCTTTCTTTTTTTTTAGATTCGTCTTCATGGTTCTATTGTAACTATGTTTTAAATGCACTTATATTGTTGTGAAGCTATTTCAATGAAATAAATGGTGAAATGTCCCTTTTATCCCAGCATTAGCATTCTTAAACCATTTTGTCAAATTAAAATAATGCAGACAAATTTTATAAATCTTGATACAATGAATGTTAAGTAAATTGAATCCATCTAAAAAAACAATAGGTGCTGTCGCTCAAAATATTGAAAAAAAACTTCTCATATAATTGGAGAATTTGCAATACAACGTTTTGTATCGGTAGTGCGACGTTTTTTCTCCCATGCCTGTGCAACCAGAATAAAATAGGAACTCATTAACGATTCACTCAAAATATAAGACATGTTTAGTAAAACTCGGTTATAAAAAGTTCGCTAGAACCCCGGAAAGTAGTTCATTAAATCCGAAATTCGTTATATTCCTTTAAGGAATTCTTCATCTAAATTAACATAGGTCAGGATTCAAGATAACTTCGCTTTATCCGTGAAATTGAAATATTCGTGAAATAACTAAACGAGTTTACCGTTATCTGTAAATTACAAATTTGTTGGCAATGTAAACATTGTCAAAATTTACCCACAGCTTGGCACCAGTTCAATGAAAAACAGAGAAAAGTTAGGTATTTTTTCCTTCTCGTGAACTCGTAAAATCAAACTATATTGACAGGGTTCTGCCCCCTTTGACTTAGGAAAATTCCAATTATGCCATGTATTGATATGTATTGATATCTAATCATGAATAAAATTGGGCATCAAATATCTTCACAAACTCCCTAGAAGATAATACTATCATTTAGATAGCCCTGTATTATAAAACAGATTTCAAAGGAATTTTTGCTAAGCTATTTTTGGATCAAAGTTGGAAGTCAAATAGCACAAGTATTGAAAAACTAAGGCCTCTGTTAACCATGCCATCGCTCTTACCAGTATGGTACAAGAATTATTCACTAATCTCCCCACTACTGTTTCCCCGATATGGACAACACGCCCCCTATAGGTCTGGTTGACAATATACATTATATACGGACCAGCATTTCAACATAAATAAGCTTTCATATCGCTGAGCTGATTTTTGGAGGGATAACGTATTTTTATCAATTGATAAATTGACAAAGTGAGTTGCACCTTAATTGAGCTTTAAGCATTGATAAATCCAATTGAACTTTTCTATATTTCATTATTATGATTCCTGCCAGTTTGTCTTTATATAACCCATGCCCTTCAATTGTCGCATAGTGTTCTAAGGATTTATATAGCGTACGCATACTATGCCGAAATAGTGCATGGCTTTCACTTCTGAAAAAAATCCGACCACGACCACGCCGGGAAGCAAACTCGCGACCCCAAAATTGTCAGTCTGACGTGCTACCGATTACGCCACAGACGACTCTATGTACAGTAATGTGTATAGAATTAGTTTCAAATAATTTACACTTAAGCTTAAAAATTAACAATATAATTCTTCTAAAATAGTTTCTTGCAACCTCTCCTCCTTCATACAAAT